GTGCTGTTTGGAATTTATATCGTCTTCGAGAACTATAATTAACCCAATCTTCTGAACGCGTCTCGAGACAAAAGATGTTCGTAATTTAAGTATTTAGCAGGGATTGAGAACAGTTGTGATATCAGTTTTGGTACTTAAAACAGTTATGAAGAACCGAAATTCTAACGGTTCTCCAGAACCGTTATTATATTATGGTATTTCCGGGAAATAAAACAGTGAAACAACGAGAATCTTTCATTTTGTTTTGTCATTCCAAGTAATAGCAAAATTGTAACAAAGTAGTTTAATCATTGTCTGGTATAATAGTCCATCTGTCATCTAAAAAAAAACTCAAATCTTTATCACCATTGTGCGCACGTCTGGTCGCTACAGTATATAAATAAATACAGTAGTTATAAAGCAACGTACGTATTTTTATGATTTGGTAGGTTTAGTGTTAATCTTTTAGGCACGACGCGCCACTATAGTGGCTTTCGCGGATGTCATCTCTCTGAACGACGCACCACTATAGTGGCTCTCTCTAGTAGCTCACTCGCTCATCGTTCGAACCAAATAATCGTCTTCATATGCATTGTTTCACACTTCTTTTGTCTTCGCATCGATTTACAACAGTCTACAGGGTGTCCCAAAAATGTCTCGCAATCCGGAAATGGCGGGTTCCTCGGATCATTTGAAGCAACTTCTTCCTTTACAAAAATGTTCTCCGAGGCACCGTTAACGAGTTATTAACGAAAAACAGTGACCAATAAGAATCGAGTACGGCTGACGCGAGGCGGTCCAGCCAACCAGCGCGCGAAGCCCAGTTCCGCTCATTGGCTCGATCGCCTCGCGCCAGCTGAGCTCGTCTCTCATTGGTCACTGTTTTTCGTTAATAACTCGTTAACGGTGCCTCGGAGAACATTTTTGTAAAGGAAAAAGTTGCTTCAAATGGCCCGAGGAACCCGCCACTTTCGGATTGCGAGACATTTTTGGGACACCCCCTGTATATACAGTATCAGATTCTGTACAGTACAGATCAGACTCTGCCGTCCAGAGAAATAGCCTCGCGCAGAATTCAGCCGCACCTAAAAGGTTAAAATACCGAACTCGCGATTTTACTAAAAAGCGGAGTCGCCTGAATTTAGATCTCCAATTTTAGTTTCAGCTAGTAGCTTTTTGTTAGAGGAAGCCGCTAACAAAATGCAATAATTCAATATGAGAAAAAAGAATTTGATAAGGGGTTTTATGAAAGTTTTTAGTGGAGAGGGACGGGGGCGAGGAAAGCTGGCAGCACAAAGTGACGGAAAGTTCCCGTTCGACTATCGCGTGTGCATAAATGTCAGGTTTATTAACGGCAACGTTCGATATTCGGCCGCAGGTCTCCGTGCAGGAGGAGGGCGAGGACAAGGGACCAATTTGCCCTCCGCTTCCGGCGCAGTACCACGCGGCTGCCTACACCACGACGACACCGCAGCTACACAAAACTATCACGGATTACAGCGGTTGGTAGCGACGTTAAGTGCGATACTTAAGCCTTTCGAACTCTGCCTGTGCATGCGCCGTTAGGCCGATTTAAATTAATTCAAACAGCGGCGGCTGGAGTCGGTCGCGATTATCAGCGCCACGCCTCATCAAACATTGCACGATATTATTAAGCGCCATAAAGATCCGAACGATTCCTATTATTATTATTATTTTTTCTTCCGTTCGCGTAGTTTATTTAACGCGCCCTTATTTCAAGGGACCACCGATAACGGTACAATTGGTATTTACCGTTATTGTACGCTAATGGCGCTCGAATGAAATTTTTTGTAACAAATCGCCATTCGTGTTCTCCTTTTTTCTGCTATGTGCAAGGTATAATTTTAGAAAGAACGCCGTTGTCCCATATCTTGAGATGTCTGAAAAATATTCAGTAATTCTCCACAGAATTCAAATAATAAATGAGTTAAACGCGACGACTGTTTGATGTCGCCGATGTATGTCACGTCCCATTGGTACTCTATAACATTTTTATACGGTGTCTCATAGTTAAAGTTAATGCTTGTAATTTCGATCTGTTCGATTATCTTTTGGGCTAGATAAATAATCATTTCTCAGTTCAATTCGCTCAGTCCTTGAATTTTAAAGTGGCGGTTGCAGGAATCGATGGACGACGGAAATTTATGCATGTGTTTCTGTTGAACAACGTAAGAAAACTGACACTAAATTAAATTAAATATTTTTGATAATTTTATTTCAAGAAATAAAATTATACAACGAGTCTGTAACACATATTGAGCCGAATTTAGAATTTTTATAGTATTGTCTAATACTACTTTTTACTAGAATTTAGTATTGTAGTAATAATTTAGATACATTTCATAAAACGATTCCCAAAATTTATTAGACACATTGTAGTATTGTCTAATACTACTTTTTACTAGAATTTAGTATTGTAGTAATAATTTAGATACATTTCATAAAACGATTCCCAAAATTTATTAGACACATTGTAGTATTGTCTAATACTACTTTTTACTAGAATTTAGTATTGTAGTAATAATTTAGATACATTTCATAAAACGATTCCCAAAATTTATTAGACACATTGTAGTATTGTCTAATACTACTTTTTACTAGAATTTAGCATTGTATTAACACTTCGGAGATTTTTCATAAAACGATTTCCAAAATTTATTAGACACAATGTAGTATTGTCTAATACTACTTTTTACTAGAATTTAGTATTGTATTAACACTTCGGAGACTTTTCATAAAACGATTTCCAAAATTAAGCCAAATAAAGCATATATCTCCGCAACTGAAATGCAAGTGCATTGCTAGCAATATTAACGATCCATGGTACCTAAATTGAAAGCAGATTACCTAAATAAAAGCAATCTTTTTCAACAATTCTTTCGACAGATATTAGAATGAATTTGCATGAAATTTCTTGTACTTTATCAACACTTTGAAAGCTCTAATGTGCAACGAATGCAGAAATTTCGGTGCATTGATTGCAACATATGATCGGGATTATATTGTAGAACAATGAATCACTGAAATAAAGTCTGATCGTCGAGGCTCGAGGGCTTAACGCGTGTAGCGCGAAGCAGTTTTAAATCGGCGCACAAAAGAAGACGGTTCTCGATCATAATTATTATCAATTTCCAGCTTTGCGGTTGCCGATATCGTTCGTTAATTGCCGGAGAAATTTCAGCGCCAGATCTCGAGCTCCGGGCTCCGCGATCGATATTTATTACAGCGTTGTGTGTTTTAATTAAATAGTGGGGAAAACTCGAAACGAGCAGGTTTGCGCTGCGGCGCATTATCGAGTTTGCGTTTGGCTAAAATTACGTAAAACCGTGGTGGACTACAGGCATCGGCCGCGACGATAAACGCAACACCTACCGCGATATGCAGGCGGGCAGCGCTCGAATTAAATTACAGGCTAATGGCCGACAGATTATTATAGAGTTCGCGGCACTTAAGCCAATACTTACATGAGCACAAATCATTAGGAACTTCCACGTGATTTATTTGGCCATTGTGTGCCGGCGGTACGTCCTTAATCGATTTTAAATATCTCACCGTCTAGGTTTCTCGTGACTAATGAATATTGAAAGTTCTACCGCAAGAGATTCGCGCATAAGATCGTAGCACAGTGGTAGAATAATTTTTCTTTTCTACATCAAACTATTAAATTCTGTTTCATGCACGGTATATCGGATTTTGACAATGCTTACAACATCGAATAATTAATTTGAAAAATAGTTCGTTTATGCAAGACGTCGCACCTGTCAGAAACTGCGAATTTCTGTGCAAACTATAGATAGTCTGTATTCAATTTGAAAAGAATACAAAAGTAGTTTTACGTTCCTAAAAATGGGTTCGCTATTTTGCATTTTATCTACCCAGTGTCGTCGTAGATGTCTATAATCAGTAGCCTACACGTGATCTTTAATTGTGCATCAGCAGAAAATGTTCATAAATATCTCACCGTCTAGGTTTCTCGTGGCTAATGAATATTGAAAGTTCTACCGCAAGAGATTCGCGCATAAGATCATAGTACAGTGGTAGAATAATTTTTCTTTTCTACATCAAACTATTAAATTCTGTTCCATGCACGGTATATCGGATTTTGACAATGCTTACAACATCGAATAATTAATTTGAAAAATAGTTCGTTTATGCAAGACGTCGCACCTGGCAGAGACAGCTTATAACATCATGACGAAACTGCGAATTTTTGTGCAAACTATAAATAGTGTGTATTCAATTTGAAAAGAATACAAAAGTAGTTTTACGTTCCTAAAAATGGGTTCGCTATTTTGCATTTTATCTACCCAGTGTCGTCGTAGATGTCTATAATCCGTAGCCTACACGTGATCTTTGATTGTGCATCAGCAGAAAAAGCTCATAAATAAGCGTAACGCTCGTCGGTTTTATCGTGACTTTAATCAATATTGAAATTTCTACCGCGTTGAAATTTTTCCCCGGCAAATCGCGTTCCCGCGTTTGCTTCTAGCTTCAAGGGACGCCGAAAGACAATATCTCCGACGAATAGCAAAATGAATTGTTTCGGGATCGTCAAAATTTGCCCTCGTAATTTTCGCCCGGCACGTTTCCGCCGCTGAAACGGTTTACCTGTTTACAAAAAAGTAGTTCTGAACTGCAGAAATCAACGATAAATTTCGCGTAGGACGGTTCTGTTGCAAAATTCCGGGCGAATCGATACAGTGTTCGTCGGGATCCGTCGGGTATTTTGGAAACACGTTGAAAGTGTCGAATGCGGTTTATGCTACACGGAATCGTCATTTTTACGAATTTTGCGATCAATGTTTCAGAGGAAGCTCTTTAATGGACGCTTGAATATTTCAAGCGAAAGATTTTATTGATCCGCCTACACGCGCCCAACAAGCCTGTTTCAAATCCGGCCGCGAAACCCGGCAATTTTTATGATTTCCGTTTTACCGGCTCTACGGTTCGTTGCATGTTGCGCCGACGAATCGTGGTCAAGCATGTTGGCAAGAAGTTCCGTAAACTTGGAACGGCTTCAGCAAAAAACAATTTGAACTGTGGCGTGAGCTAAACGATTCTTCCGTCGACCTATAATCTGTATCGCGAGCTCCAACCAACTTCCAGCGAGCTCCATCTCGAGTCCAATTGAAAACCAGCACTCGGTTAAACACGAATACCGAAATACGCAAAATTCTAGAGCAATTCTCGCCGTAATCGCAATAACACGGATAGCCGATTACACAATGCGCGCTGGTCCGGGAATTCGATTTCTGTGGTCCAAATTATTTTAGAGTTGTTTTATGGTTTACGGTTTTAATATTGTAGTTTGTTAAATACGAAAGTTTTTATTATGAAGTCGAAAATATGGATTAACGTTTAAAAAGTCGAGGTGGCCAGCATTATCGACGAAAGGAAATGTTGTTTGCAAATTGTTATTGGGTTGTTCCAAAAGGAAATTCGATTTTGCAAATAGATAGCTTATAAAAATACCGATAATTACTTTTGCAATAACCCAATATATTCTAATTTGTAGAACAGCGAATACTGATCAACTTTTGTTAAAGACAGTTTTTTGTCAAAACATCAGAAATGACTGAAAAATTGTGGTTTGTTTATACTATTCACCAAGGCGACGGAATACTGTTAACACCTATTTGTTGAAATTATTTTAGACACGGAGGTTGCAAATATATCCTCTTTTTAGCAATTATTAAATACTTCATATAAAAACGGTCTAATACTTACAAATCTTTATAGATTTTTCAAAACTCTTCTCGAAGTTTGGATTGTTATAAAAAAATTTTACGCCATTTGTACACGGACTAAACAAATGACTAAAACTAGATTCAATACTTCAAGTACATAATATACTATGTATAATATACAGGGTGTTCCATAATTATGTTAATACCCGGAAAGGAATGATTCCTGAGATCATTTTAAGTAACTTTTTCCTTAGCAAAAATGCAATCCGCGGCTTCGTTTACGAATTATTAAGGAAAAACGGTGACCAATGAAAAGCGAGCACATCTGGCGCGAGGCGGCCGTGCCGATGAGCGGAACTGGGACTCGACCGCTCGTTGGCTCGGCCGCCTCGCGCCAGATGTGCTCGCTTCTCATTGGTTAGTGTCTTTTTATTAATAACTCGTGAACGAAGCCGTGGATTGAATTTTCGCTAAGGAAAAAGTAACTTCAAATGACCTCGGGAATCACCCCTTTCCGGGTGTTAATATAATTATGGGGCACCCTATATACAAAACCGTCATTG